ATAATAATATTTATTTCTTATATAGCGCATTCCATTTTTTACATTTCAATGCACTTTACAAATAATTAAAAAAGTCTAAAAATAACAATACTAAAATACTTTAACATTTACTGATAAAATTAATTAATTAAAGAAAGCAGAGAAAATTTATTGATATAACTTTAAAATACTACTAAAATTAACCCAAGCTCACTCTTAATAAATGATAAACAACTAAAAGGTTTAAAGGAACACTAACCATAAAATTCTTTAAAAAGATGAGTTTTAAGACAGGCTTTAAAAGTATTATAGTCACTTTCAGCTCTGATACTAAAAGGCAATTTGTTCCACAATTTTGGAGCATAAACAGTAAAAGCCCGGTCTCCATAGAATTTGTTGCATTTTCTGTCTATTTCACAGTGATTGAGTATAAAATTGTTTTCAAAAGAGTTTCTTGTTAACCTGCGTGGTTCAGATGACTGAATAAGATGTGCAATATAACCAGGTGTGTTTTCTTTAAAAGCTCTAAAAATTATGCACAACACTTTGAATAAAATTCTTTGTTTGATTGGCAGCCAATGCAATTCCTTTAACACTGGAGTGAAATGATCCAAGCTCTGGTTCCTTATCTTTTTAACTAATCTGGCCGCTGAATTTGGAATCAATTGGATTTTTTTCAATTTACTGACACTCACCCCAAAAAGAATACTATTGCAATAATCTAGTTTTGATGTAATAAAAGCATGAACTAATTTTGTAGTTGTTTCTATATTTAGTAAATTCCGAATCTTCCCTATTCTCCACAGTGAAAAAGATGCCGACTTACAAACATTGTCTATATGCTTGTCAAAGATCCCAGCTGAATCAAAAAACACACCTAAATTTCTCGCACTGACAGATGCTTTCACAGACACATTGCCAATGCGAACATTAGTGTTAGTAGCACAGTCCTTTCTATCTTTAAATTTAGATGAAAACCAGATTATTTCCGTTTTAGTGTCATTTAGAGCCAGCTTATTTGAAAGCATCCTCACCCGGATCTCATCAATACATTTCTCTATGTCTGACACTACAGAATAATCACACCGATTATCACAAGTTACATAAATCTGAGTATCATCAGCAAAAATTGTGGTCTGAAGATTGTGCTTAGAAATGATCTCCTCAAGAGGCACCATATAGAGTGAAAAAAGTAGTGGGCCTAACACCGATCCCTGTGGAACACCATATTTCAGGATTTCAGGGGCAGAAAGAAGGGAATTAATTTCCACTTTTTGTGTTCTTCCCTTTTAGTAAGAGCTCAACCAATCAATCGCCATTCCTGTCATGCCAAACCTGCACTGCAAACGTTGTAGTAAAATATCATGGTCAATCGTGTCGAAAGCAGCAGAAAGATCCAAAAGAACTAAGATGACATCACAGTGATTGTTTAATGAGAGCATGATATCATTGTGAACCTTTAGCAGGGCTGTTTCAGTACTATGACCCGTTCTGTAGGCTGATTGGAATTTACCATACAGAGAATGTGCTGTTAAGTAGTTGTTCAGTTGCGAGAATGCCATTTTTTTCCAGAAATTTACTAATGAAAGAGCAGTTGGAAATTGGTCTATAGTTTTTCAGCTCGTTTCTTTCAAGACTGCTCTTCTTTAAGAGAGGCGTTACAACAGCAGTTTTTCAGAGATCAGGAAAAATTCCAGACTCAAAAGATGTATTTGTTATTTTCATGAGTGCTGGAAATACTGCTTCTATGCAATCCTTTACTAAGTATGTTGGCAGTGGGTCCAGTGAGCAGGATTTTGCTGGCATGGCTTTCATCATGGCAACTACTTGTTTCCCATTCTCTATGCTTTGGAATGCTGCTTCTACTTCCCAAGCTGTTACATCAGGCAACCAACCAGCAACCATAAAGCATAAATATGAAATTCTGTCACTAGGCCTACATTTAGAGTGACCATTTTGGATTTATGGTAACTGTATATATTTTGGTTAATGTATAAGGCAAGATAAATGGTCTCAGTAGCTTTACATAATGCAAAAACATTAGATTAAATGTACGATTTTCATATCATTATCATTGAATTCAATATTTTTCATTTAAATGAATGGAAGAGCATTTGATGCAAACATCCATAATGGTGGCTTTTATGAAAATTGTTGCAATCAAGAAAATCTAAGTTTGTTTGCACTTGTCTCACAGTTGTATAAAAAAGCACACAGTTAAATATTCTAGCAGGACTTGCACAGCACTGCGTTTTCATCCACACATCCATACCTCAAATTCATTTTTGTTGGTGGGCATCTTGGATTTATAATGCCTGAAGCTAAAAAACTACCTTTTGACAAAATGAAAAGTCTTAACAGTAAATGGACTATGCAGTATACAAGCATTTATCAAAATATATGTATTTATATTTTGCTTATAATTTAATTGGAATTTTTTCACCATGCCAAACAAAAATTGTGTGAAATCCGGAAAACGGTGGCCATTTTGGATATTTTTACCCTGAACAAAGTCTAATAACAATTTAAATTATTCAATCATATGTATCATCCCATTACTGGTGGAATAATTCATTATTAGATGTTTATAGTAAGAATGACGTGTTGACATATTTTAATATGTTATATTTGATAATTTTATTGAACAAATAACAAACCCATTGTATATGCCGGCTATCTTCGATACATGTAAGAGCCATCTGTGTTAATATACAATTTTAAGGTAAAGTAACTGGCATAAATTGAAAATAAAGATTACTAACTTTTTCAAATTCAAGTAGTTGTATTTTGATAAAAAAAGGGAAACTTGTCGCTTTCTTGGATTCGGTCGCCATCTCGAAAAATGTAAATGCCTGAAAAATTAAGAATGCTTAAGTACTTATGGCTAGTGTAAATTAAATTTAATTGTTAAATAACTTTAAAATCAATGTTGGTATTTAAATATGAAAAATGAAAGTAGTAGGAGAGGAGTTTTACAAGCTGTAAACTTGACAGTGACCATATACTTTCAATGTGATTTTTTTAGTGATCCTTGGACCTTTTAAGGGACTGCAAGCGAATTCGTAAGCGGATTTGCAAATATTGCTTTGTAAGCGAATTTTAATGAGGAATTCACCAGAGGCCCTTGGATACCTACGAGGTAATATCTTAAGTAGAGAGAGGGGGCAACAGGCAATAGTCTTGTTACCGAGGTTGGACTGTTCATGTTTTGCTGAAAAATAGCAGAGTCATTTTATTTCACCAAAGGTGGTCATGTTGAAATGCTGTATTATATAATTATTCTAATATTTGCTATTAAAACGAAGGAAAAAAACTGCATAGTCATGTCATTCTGTTGCTTATAATTCCCCGATAAATATTTGACAAGCAAAGGGTTGGAAGGTTTATGTTTTGCTGAAAAATTGCAGAGTCGGTAGAGTTGAAAGGTGCATTATATAATTATTTTAATATTTGTTATTAAAATAAAGAAAAAACTGCAAAGTCACACCATTTCTGTTGCGTATAAATACCCCCATTTCGCGGCGTTAATACCACACCAACATGCCACACCACCATGCTAGCCGTGACAGATTGCTCGCGTACTGACTGCGTTCTTTGTTTACAGGTACGTAGTAACGTGCCAAGATAAACCGCGTCCTAGGTCTAGGGTTTGGAAGTAATTTTTTGCTTGCGTATGGACAGACGCTCAATTACTAATGTACAAATCAAGTAATGCAAACAACGTACATGGTTCACGACCAAGAAGAAAAAAAAAAAAAAGAACTGTGCCGTCAACTTTAAACAAGCAGTGTCTTATGCTGAATGCTGCCAATGTATAGTGCGTTCGAGCTATATAACATTCAATATTCACATGTCTAGGCCTGTTTATTCAAATATTGCAAACATGTCCAGGCATGTTTATGTTTACTCAGATAAGGCAGACCGCTGGTCAACAAAGACATACCACCGACCAGGGGTATCTATGGCTACCAAAACTATTTTCATTGTTTTCCTTTTTAAAGTCTTATTTATTTTTTCTTGTGTATTTAATTTTTTTATTACACTTATCTTGTCTGTTTTGGTTTCAGTCACCTCTCATCTTATAGTTAAAAGTGCGCTTGCACTGAAGTTTGTTTCAGTAAGCGGGTACACAAACAATTACGCTACGAAACGCAGTGGACAAAGCCCGTATTTGATCGCTCAAGTGCCCTTGTACTCAACGGCTGTATCGAATATTTCTACGTCTATATGGTTTACACACCAAACAGTAAGGCACGCACGATGGAGAGGAGGAGGATAATGTAGGGAGGAGGATGTAAGAAGGAGGAGCATGAAGGGAGGGGAGGAGGTGGAGTTAGGGAGGAGGAAGAGGGTGTAAATATATCTTTTAAATATAAATAGCTTACTCCTCACTCTAACTTCTCATTCTTTTACAAGATGCTGAAGTGTCCAGAATGCCCAAAAACCTTTTCCAGAAAGGACAACTTTAATAGACAGGTAATGAGTGTACACCAGGCGAAAGCTCAGCTTAATCTGCAGGCGGGTAGTGAGTGTGGACCACTCATATCCCCATTTACTGCACTGGTGACTGGTCCGACGGGCAATGGAAAATCGGTTTTCGTGAAACGATTGATTGCACACGCCCAGTCAATGATTTCACCGCACCCACAGAAAATAATTTGGTGTTACGATATCTGGCAACATTTATACGAAGTCATTCTGGTCGAGGCAAAGAGTTTTGTTACGTTTCATCAAGGCATTCCTTCCAATATCCAAGCTGACGATTTCTTTGATCCTAAAGTGAACAATCTCTTAGTATTTGACGACCTATTTGCTGAGGCAGCGGTTGATAGCAGAATACGCGACCTGTACACCGAATCAGCGCCATACTTATCACCCAAAACCTTTTTCCCAGAGAGAAGGAAGCCAGAACCATCTCCTTGAACTGTCATTATCTCGTCCTCTTTAAAAACCCCAGGGACATATTGCAGGTCAGAACACTAGCCAAGCAGATGTATCCCGGTGAGGTAAAATAATTCCTCCGAGTTTTTAAACCGGCAACCTCGCCTCCTCATGGTTACCTCTTCATTGATCTAAAGCAAGACACTCCAGATGACTGTCGTCTACGCGTTGGTGTATTTCCTGAGGAAATCAACGATGATGAGTACCAATCATGGACTGTAAAGTATTTACAAGAGGAGAAACATAAGGCGCAATCGTTTACCAAAATAACTGATAAAATAGAAGCAGACCACGCACGTTGCGGAAAAGAAATGACCTTACTTTGGACGAAAAGGTTAATTTGAATGATGAACTGTACCACGAGAAACAGTCATACTGGAAATGACAAACAAACGCAGTGTATATGAAGACCACTCCTACACACCACTCAACACTCCCTCCGCCATACAGGACTGTAGGTTCACCGCAACGACCGCCCACCATTACCAGTGGGGTCGACCGTCCCATGGCGTGGCCTAAACGAAAGCTGTTTGATAAAACACCAAGAGAACCCGGCAAAAGCGTACGCGTTCGAAACATGATGTTTCTCAAAAAACATATAATTTTAGCGCGAAACCTAAACCAAAACAGACAGGCATGGGAACTCCCTTATTAGAGCGCCGGTATGTGTTGGATGCAGAATATGGAGGTCGATCTATGCCTGACAGCAATACCGAATACCATAACGATTCTGATGTGTCTGACAGCATAGAATTGGTGAACACCGGAGAATTGGAGCAAACCGAAATGTCAAACACAGAGTCACCGGACAGCGAGTCAGAAAGCGGTGAAACTTCCAACGATTTGGCTACATAGACGGGTGATAATGAATCGGAAAATTACAAATACGGGCACAAATCCCTGGACCCTATTATTTAAAATATATAATAACTATATCAAGAAGGATCCACTATACAAGGCGTTTTTTACATTTCTATCAAAACAGAGCGCAATATCCGCGGATATCTTTCCATCGCCGATATGCTATTCCAATCAAGATACCAGTTCAGAAAAAAAGTAAATAATTTATTATCAGATATTGTACAAGTTGATTACTTAAGTCGTAGTTGCCCAAAATTTACTGTATGGGACGACCGCGTGCGCCGTTTACTGTGCAACAGAAATGGTGTGAGTTTGCATTTTTTTTCTTTAATTTAATAACAATTGTCAAAATAATTAAACACCTTTCAACTCTACCGATTCTGCAATTTTTCAGCAAAACATAAAGATTTAAACCTTCCAACCCTTTGCTTGTCAAATATTTATCGGGGAATTATAGGCAACAGAATGACATGACTTTGCAGTTTTTTCCTTCATTTTAATAGCAAATATTAGAATAATTATATAATACAACATTTCAATTAACATGACCCTCTTTGGTGAAATAAAATGATTCTGCTATTTTTCAGCAAAACATGAACAGTCCAACCTCGGTAACAAGGCTGTTGCCTGTTGCCCCCTCTCTTTACTTAAGATATTACCTCGTAGGTACCCAAGGGCCTCTAGTGCATTCCTCATTAAAATTCGCTACAAAGCAATATTTGTAAATCCGCCTGTACGTTCTTCAGGTGTTAGTTTGCTGACAAATCTGCTTAACAAATAAGACCCCCCCCCCCACCTCTGCTTGTCACCTCGTAGGTATCCAAGGGCATCTAGTGCATTCGTCATTAAAATTCGCTTGCAGTCCCTTTAAAGGTTCAAGGCTCACAAAAATCACATTGAACGTATATGGTCCCTGTCAAGTTTACAGCTTGTAAAACTCCTCTCTTATTACTAATGAATTTATTGAACGCCATCTTGGATTTGTCATGCTTTCGATACAAACGGACATTTTCTTCAGGCCGGAAACAAGTACCCTGAGTGTCAGAGCAACGTAAAAGCTAGCTTGCTAAAT